ATTTTTCATCCCCAAAAGTACATCACGGGTTCACACAAAATCATGTCATCTTTCAGCACCAAGCCACCACCCCTCTGAAGGTCTGACCACCAGCAAACCCAAGTATTGCTGTGGGAAGGGGTCAGGAGTCCCCAGCAGCGGCTGTGAGTCTGTCCATCCCCTCAGCCCAGAGTACATTCATGATGGGATTCGTGTCAGGTTGTGTTTGGCCATTTCAAAGGATTTAATCAACAGCCAAAGAAACAACAGTCTGCCGAGTGTAAGCACATTTGGCGAGTTACCTCGCTGTCTTCCTCAGTAATAAACTGGTTTTGGCTAAGGTCATCTTTCATCTGCACAGTAAATAAAACTGTCAACTAAAGCTGAGTTTCTGTTTCTCATCAGTCAAGCAATACAATAAAACTCAGCGCAGCGTATTTAGACAATGATTTTGAGAGAGAAGGCAAACCTTAAGGAAGTTTTAGTATAATCATTTCCTCTCAGTTGATCAACATAACAGACGCAGTAATTTAGCTGGGGAAATGTGATATAAAGCTTACAAGCCTGATAATCAGATTGTCTTCAGAGACAAAAATCAAGCTGGTTTTCCAGACCTCACCATAACCATTAATTAAATACCTACCATCTCTTCACTTAACATCTAAAGAACATTTAAGCAAAAATCCATCAGTTTCAAGGAAAACAACAACCACGTCTAGCTTGCCTATTTAATTCTCGTTCTTTCGTGTAGGAAGTTTTAGTGCTGTCAAGCAATATTTCTCATCTTTTTAGAAGGAATTCAACTGGAAATATTAAAATATTTTCAACATGCTGCTTATTTTTATCTAGAGGAAGATAAATTATTATATGCATGCAAGTAGTAAAAGCAGTTGCCAGAAAAAATAGGGTTTATTCCTGCCATACCTGCAATACATCAACCACTACATGGAAATACTTCTCTTTCCAAAACAATTAGCCTAATTTGTAGTGAGTTCACACAGACTTTCACTCTGCTGAAGATTATTACTTGCCTAAAATATGATGCTTACATTTTTCCAGTACATTAACAAATAGTGTTGTTTGAGAGGGGAAAAACAGGCAGAAATACCCTTCACTCTGTGACTCTCGCAAACACCACATAATCCTACACCAGTCAAAACACAACGATTCAGGCTGCCAAAACAAGTATTTACTTTTCCCAATATTCTGATAGCGTTTTACTTAAATGTAAAAGCAAACCTGGCACGGTCTGAAATCAGACTACAGCTCTGCCACTCGTTTCGTGCCCGTTCTCTCCCAGCACATTCCACTTCTTAAAACCAGCACGTCAGCAGAGCCTTCATAAAAGAAGATGCATACCTTGATCTCTCCAGGGCTTGGGAGGTGGTGGGGTTTTTTTTGTTCATATTTTTAAAACAGATGGAATAAAATCTCAATGTCCCTTACTATCACATAAAAGATAGATAATAGCGTATGGAAAATGCTAGAAAACCCCTGCTGTCAGGTCCACCTCGCCATACCTGTGAGCAAAATCTAGAACTTACTTCCATGGTCGGTAAAATACTTTTATGCATGAATCCACCCTCACAAGCCGTCAACGGATCTTCCACTAGTCCTCATTGTCTTTTGGGGAAGATCAGCTGCCTCTCAGCTTCAGGGACCTCTCTCCTGCTGTCCTACAGCTCCGTGCTGTAGCTTTCTGCCTGGGAAGCCATGAGGGCATGCACGTTGACTTGGGGTACCAAGATCTCCAACAAACCACCATCCAGAATACCTGCATTTAGACTATGTCCCCATATAGATTCATTACCAGAATAACTAAAGTTAGAGCAAGTTTTCCCCCAAAGTCTTAAATAAATGACTAAAGAAGACCACCCGTTCAGGCAGCACATTGGGCGTGAAGAGCTCTTCACTTCTGCATGGAAACAGGAGGCGTGAAGAGCCCCCATAGCACTGCACAGCCCCGTGCCCTGCACCGGAGGACGTTCCCTGCCCCTTGTTGGGACCTTCTGCTCCCCAGACCCAGCCCCACATCTGCAAGTGAGAGCCTGGAGAGACTTCCCTAACAGCGGCATCCTAACAAACCTGCCAACTGTGAAGTAAATCCCAAAGCTCTTGCACCATGCAAGGTCCAACATGACCACTGCCCATCAGAAGCCCCATGTCCTCAAAACGACGACTGACCCACCCAACTCCAAGTTCTTGGAGATTTCAATTCCTTCACCTCCTATTTCACTGGGAAGAGAACAGCTTGTCCCATTTCTTGGGAAAGCAGCGCCAAAGATAGGAATATTTATAAGGAATTTGTATCTATCTATCCAAACCCAAACATTCAAAAATCATGACTCACAATCCCCTCCCAAAGCATGGGATTAAATTAACATATCATGGGATTCTGAAAGATGCTGTCTTTAAAATTATGGAATACTATATATTTTGTGTTACTCGTTACTTTAAGATATTTACATAGTCAGAAACTACAAAGTTTTTATCAACAGTTAAAAGATCCAGAAGCTCACCTAGGGGAAAAAAAAAAGTCATCACATATTCATAAGATTCCTGGAGGCTGGACCTTTAAAAATAGTCCAAGTGTTACAATTCATCACATGTAAATTTATGGGACTTGGCAACAATGCAGTTGTCTCCAGGGATGGTGGAAGAGGGGTAGTGCTCTTGGTTAACCTCTTTTTTTTTTTTCTTTTTTCTTTTTTTTTTGGGGGGAAGATACAGCATGCTGAAAGTGCCCTACTAAGTATTTCCTAAATAAGCCCATTGATTAATTTGGAGGACTACGGAAACACGCAGCACACTGCTTATCAACGCCCAGTCACTAAATATTTTGACGTTTGTTAACCAAAACTAGATGCATTCTGGAAAAAGACAAACTGGAAAATAAAATTACAAGTTTTGAAAGCATGTCCTTTCCATGCCTGTTGCTTAGAGCAAATCAAAAGTGGGAAGCCAGGTTTAATAAAAAGTAGATGAGAACAGACCAGTTTTGTAGTGGCCATTGTTAAAGGCAAAGAGAATTTCATGGAAAAAAACCCTGTATAGTATATTGGCTTTTTTTCCAAAATAAAAACTAATCTTTAATCAATTTTACAAATCACCAGATGGTGGATGGAAGGGAAGATTACTACTCTTAGCATTTTTTCCGTATTTTAAAATTTGAAATATGAAAAATCACAACTATTCCTGCCTATCACTGACACCTGCTGATCCAGACACGGTCGGGGCTACGTCTCAGCCTGGCCTGCACGAGTTCAGCCCTGCTTTTGCTTTTTAATCCCACAGTGCTGGCTGATGGCTATCATTACTTTGTGCCTTTGTACCACAGCCTACAAACTTCAGTCCTCACGCGAGCACACAGCGCAGGTGAGGTGACACGGACGCAGATGTCTGGTGGCATCCCAGACCACACGTAGCTTTGCTGCCGGTCACAGCGGGCAGCCCACGAGCAGTCCCGCCGTCAGCTCCACCAGAAGCCACGCAGCACGGTGCTGCGTTTCAGAGCAGTGGTTTCAGATACTGCTGTCAGAGCCTTCCCCTAGCAGGTACCGCATGCCAATAACTGGAGCTGATCTACAATTTATGCTTTTCTGTGTACCAGACTCCTACTCCCGAGGAATATTTACCATCCAAAAACAAAAATACTGCCATAAGGTGTGAATAAAAGCAAGTCTCTTTTGTTTAAGAAGAAACACAGTGACTGGCTGATATTTTCCAACACTGCAATAATTTTATAAACATCTAACAGAGCAATTTCTACCCTGTGATGCTGGGATTGCGGCACTCGAGTCCTGCGTCCTCCAGCTCTGCTCCAGAACGAGTACAAGGGCAATCAGAAAAGCCCAACGCAGCACTGCATCAGTCACAAAATTCATGGGTCATCTTGATGGCCAAAGTGGAAAAATAAGTTAGTTGAATGCTGTTACTTGCTTCCTTTTTTTCTCCCCGTTCCAACTTGAACATTGAGAAATTTATATTATTCACTTGGTCCTAATTTCAGTGCCCCATCTCTGACTATCTGTTCCTCCAAGTGGTTTCTGGGCATTACGCTACGCAAGAGTGGTGGTAGAGTTTTTACAGTAGGTACCATATTCTTTGTCTTTTGAAAATGGTTAAGGTAGCATAGTACATGGGGGTCATTGGGAAGATTTCTACAAAGGACAATATAACACACTGGTTTATACTTAAAAACATATTTTACTTCCTTAAGATAATATAAGATAATACTAGGGTATATATTGTGCGGTTTGGTACACACACTTGGAACAAAAATATAGCTATTTTGTTGTTTCCACTCAAACAACCCAGTTAATCTCAGTGTTAACATCAGCTGTCAAAACATCCACTTACCAGATTTGCATGCCTTATTTATTCAGCAAAAAAGGTGCAACGTCCGAGCAGTTACCAGAGAAAAAGAAAATACTACATAGAACGGGTGTTTATGTTTAGCTCCTCTTATTCTATCACTGTCTATCACATACTTAGTACGTTAAATTCTGTACTTGGAACATATAAATAAATCAAGAAAGTTTGTGTTCATATTTGAAGATATCATTATTTCCCTGTTGGAAGTAAATCTAGCCCAGCGAAGACACTGTCAGTGAGAAACCTGTGCACCACGTCAGCCTTGGTGTCCTTGCTGCAGCCTTCCAACACGGCCTCTGCGATAGCGGCACCACTACCTGTCCCCAGTGCACACAGGTACCTCTGCACCGCTGCTCCATCCACCATCCCCTGCTCTCACCTGGGGACACACAACTTCACGGAGCCAAGGAACCTCTTTAAAGCCTACACAGTTCCACCATCCTGGAGATGGTTTTGGCTGCTGCAATGCTTGCTTACCCCAGGTAAAGTGTTCAACTCCTTTCCTACCTTTTCATCCACAGAGGGAGAACAACACATTCTATGATTTCCATTTTCAAGGATAAAAAAGCCAGAGACAGCAGATCACATTGGCTCCATGCCTTCAGCTGCACCTTATACATCAGCTGATATTAACATCTCTGCCTTACCTTTGTACAGGGTATCCGCGTTCTCAAGAGGAAGCTGCTTCTTGGCAGCAGCTCTGCGATAGACCACGTGCGTTCTGCCTCCTCCCTCCTCTTCCTCCTGGGCCCCCTTCTCCAGAGGTTCAATGAAGAACTCGTCCTTGTCTGTGCGAATCATGCCAGCCTGCAGCGACAGGGCAGAGATCGAACATTTTGCGTTACTGCACACACAGCAGACGTTGTGAGTAAACAGTTACAATATGCTTAAGCACACTTTAGTGCTCTCTAGAGAGCAATTAGGATGCAGAGAGGAAACCAGGTGAATTCTTCATTAGAGCAAAACCAAGCATCAATTCCCCAACTTGACAAGAAAGGACAAAAGGTAGAACCCCGAACCAAAAGGACTTCTCCTTGAACCACAGGAACAGAGTACACGTCTAAGAATCTGTCTAGGAAATACGCTTCCCATTCAAAACCAGCTACAATGAAAGTTACTATGACCTTAGCTATCTGTCCGCCTCAGACCACTCCAGTGTTTACTATCTCTGCTAAATCAAGGATCAGTCCAGCACCATAAGCTGGTCCTGATGTGCAGTTCAACAGTCAAAAAATGTGGAGTCATCCTTTCTGTTCGGAAGCAATACTACATCTTACATGCAGGCAATGCAGCTTTGTTATTATTTCCCCCTTGACACAAAGGGTTCCACTGACAAAATACTCTTTCAAGAATTAGCCACAACTAGTTTAAAAAAGGTATCAGCAGTGCACTACTAAGAGATAAAAACTTATTCAGACTGGACCAGATATCCTGGTACGAAAAAAAAAGAGGAATTTGCACTTCTACAGAGCACCTCAAAGGAACATCACCCAAGCGATTCTCACTGTGTTCAGGGGAAGCCCTCATAAAAATTGAAAGCTTTAAAAGAAAATGTCTTTTCGTCATCTACATGCAGGTGAAACAACTTGGGCACCTGCATTGCCTGCGTTTGTCTCCTCTTGCAGTCCTGCCCTACTGCAGAAGGTCACAGCAGCCAGTAGCTGGCTCGCAGAGATGGTTGGCTTGAATCGATTTTTCTGCATATGTTTGCACATCTGTGTTTGAGAACTTAAACTAATGAATTCTTAGCTTGTAAATAGGAGGTCTTTATATTAATGTGAAAGAAATTGTTTAGATTATTATTGAGAGGAGCCCCAGATCTAAAATTCAGAAGCTCCTTCATCTCTTTCCCACTCTGCCCACTGATGACCCTGGAGCCACTGGACTTTCAGACTGGGCACAGGAGAACATCTCGACACTGTGACACACTTCTATCTGAGCTTCTGGGAGCCTAAACCTTTGCTGGGTGAAGCCCTTCCTCAAGTTTCCAGGAGAACCAGTTTGGCTCCTTTGAACCCAGCATCCTCACTCAAAACAAGTATCATCTGAACACTCTTATCATATCCCAGCACTAAAGTTCTCATACAACGCATATTTTTCTTCTACAAGCAGCAAACTATATTCCTACTGCTATAAATACAGTATGTTCTTTGGTTCCCTCCTTGGAAAAATGTCAGGTTCATTTGTCATGTCTTAACTTACATTAGGCAAGATTTCCAGTCCCAGATTTCATATATATAATGTATACAAAAACAGATTGAAGGGGAAGGATTAAAGAAGCAAAATTATATCGAAGCAATTTAAACTGATGCCATCCTGCCTGTATAGAGGAAACTGAATTTGAAATCCTGTCCTGTTTCTTCTTATCTAATTTAGATTCTACATCAGACACAAAAAAGGTGAGACAGGCTCAGCAGCTCAAGGAAGCTAAGACAACCAAGAAAATAAGTGCTGAACCCACAGAGACAGCAACTGATCTTTTACTATAAAAAGGAATACATGAAAAATTCAGAATTGATGTTATTCTCTGTTTCATGTATATTTTAATTGTATACACACACACTTCTTCTGGATATTAAATACTATATCCAGAAATTTTGAAGTGTTTTTATGAGAAATGCGCAACTAAAGATGAAGAAGGAAAAAGCATTTGCATGCTCAGCTGCACAGAATACGATGCACACGCCATACGTACGCCCAGGAGAAATACACAGACAGCTTGACTGATAGGTGAAAAAAACATGATTTTCCTTTTTGCGAGTAAGCTATATGGTGGCACACATGTTCATATGTATTTCTAGATTTATTAAACCTACTGCTAACTAAACAGCTAATGCCTGATCTCAGTTTAAGATGCAGACCGTGCTTCAGGATCCTGGGGGAAAGCCTGCTGTACACAACAGGGGGTACTGATGGGAGTTTGGTGGAATTTAGATCTTCTAAGAAAATTAACAGGTAGGCAACATCTCCAACCAGTAGGTGAACCGATCAGACAGCAGAACAACTTCTATAGGTGAACTTTAGCTTAGCATGGTGGCCTTTTGGAAAAGAAAACATCTGTTCAGAGTGAAGACTGCGCCCTGAGAAGATGAAGGAGACACCTTGGGACAAACTGTAAAACTACACCAAAGACATATTTGAATGCTGGTTCCCAAGACATAAAACCAGTGGTCAAACACTGATGTTTCCTGCAGATCCTTGTGCCTGGCGCTGGCCCTTTTGCGTGCAGCAGGATTCATGTGGCACCGAATACTGCCAAATCACAGCCCATCCATCAGGTGCTCTTATTTCACACTCTGCTTCTCAGATAGACATGATACCACTCCGTATGTCCCCATGGCAGTATCCTCCCAAATCCTGCTGGAGTGTAGGAAGGAAGGAATTTAACCTTCAAACATGGCTGAACATTTCTCTTTTTTTCATTTTAATGCTGGAATTTCTCTTTTTCTTTAGTCCTGAGAAACACATCAGTTATTTTTGGTCAGAAGTATTACAAAAGAATTAGTGTGTGTTTGAATAATAAAATAATTATATATTTTTATATATTGTCTATCCTACGCAGTCTTTGAATTAGCCAACATAATCTCATGAAATAAAATAAGAAAATACGGCTGTTTGAGACTTTAAGAAGAAAATTCATTTAGACTGCAAGCCAGAGTTCTACAACAATCCAAAGTTCAAGCCATCTGCCTAATAATATACCCATAGTTATAAATGATTCATTAAGAAATACGTGGGGCTCCTGAATGTCTCCACCACACATTTCCTTGCTGCTTTGAGCAAGACATTTAACCTCTTTACTTCCATTTCTCCACCTCTGAACCAGCATAACAACAGTCTCACAGGATAATTACAAGGGCTGATTTGTTATTTTTTTGCCAAGTGCTTTGAACATGAAAAGCTCAAGATGAATTGCCTAATGCATTTTTTCTGATACTACTCAGAACATCCTCAAAAAGCCACCATGAAAGAGAGATTGCTTTTAGTCATCAACTGAACACCAGTGTTGTGCACGGCCAAGAGAGCAATGTAAAGGCACTGCTCCAGCAGCACGGGTTTGGCCATGCCCTTCACCCATCAGTCCTTTTCTTATCCATGGACGCCATCACCCTCGTGCGAGCTTGGCGTGCCGAGACAACTGTCAGACAACCACCAAGTTTATGATGACAACAGAGAGCATAAAATTTCCTGGAGAATGCCTCTGGATGACTAAACAGAAATACTGTATTGTTTGAGCAAGTCTGTGCCTTCCCTTCAACACAACTTAGACCAAGACTTCAGAGAATCCTTGGGCCATCTTCTGGACATTTACTCCAGGGGATGTAAAAGCAGAATGAAGCCTTTCCATTATCAGTTTCCGTAAGGTCTGAACAGAGGAACAGTAGCTGCTTTCAGGCAATAAGAGCTTAAAAGTAATGGCTCACAACAGTGTTTTTTCTATCCTATACCGCTTATCGCTCTGCCTGGGACTGCCGTATGTCCAGGAGGTACAGATTAGCAGCGAGTCCCCTCCACTACCATCCTGAAGTCACACATGTGCTGTGTAATTCAGAACTAGGCGTGGGATTGAGCAGCTGCTGTAAAGGATTTCCAATTCTGGAAAAAACCACTGAGCTAACTGTTACCTCTTCACCTTCTCTTCTGGGACTTTTAACTTGAAACTAATTTGAATACAACAATACTGCTAAATAACGATGGCAGCAGCGGCTGAGTCCTGTGACTAATAAAAATATAAATTAATTGAAAAAGTGTCCGCCTTTGGAATGCACCAAACTGTCGCAAAGAGCCTATAATATCCCACCATTTCCCAACGCAGGACATCCCCAGGCCTTCCTTCCAAGGGTTTTTAGATGCTAGTTGCAAATTACTCAAGTCAAGCACTGCTTAGCGCTCATTAATATGCATTAAAGACTAGAGCAGAACACACTTAAAAGGAAACTGCAGTTCAGAGAATCAAAACCTCTTCTAAGGTTAGCAAGGCTGTTATTTAGAAGCGAAAGCCACACAGGAAAAAATTCACAAAGGCGGCAGAGAGTGACTGTCCTGTCTAATTAAGACAAGAATTACATCAATAAGCCACAAATGAGTCCATTGCAATACACAGAGCTGGGGTTTAGAGCTCCACTAACCCTTTTTGGGGGTAACAGGGCTCCTGCACGCTCCTGAAGACCTGCTTCCAAGGCTTTCAAGGACCACAGGATCTACCGATACTGGCAATGACAGTGGCCACACGGACCCTTCTCTATCACTCAAGCTTTACAAGCCCACTCTGCCGCCAGGTCACCATCTCCACTTGGGGATTTCTGCCCAAGGTAATTCCACTAGTCCCATCCCACAATGGAGACCTCCTCTCTAGCTCAGGAGACCTGCCAACAGTTTGCCACCACACCACGGAGCTCAGCTGAAAAGCAGGTGTCTTCTCTGGTCTCCTCAACACCCCCGACTCCTCTTGCATTTCTAGAGTCATTCTTTAAAAGTCTAATTTGACAGAAAAACTGCCTGACATATTTAGATCTACAGAAAACTCCAGGTTTTAGAGTGTTAGCTCCTGTGGATAATTAAATGTCTCGCTGGCTCTGCACTTGGTGAGCGACTTAATTGTCTCCTCATTCCCATTCCCATCACAGCTCCCTGTTCTAGGCTGTAATGAAGTAACCCATCTAGCTGCTGCTTCAGGACTCCAGAGCCTCAGCCCATCCTGTAACCGCAAGTTTAATTAATGTTCATTTTCTTCCTCATTAGTACAGCTTTACAAAGTTTCTCATCGCCATATAAAGGCAGATTTACTTCCCAATCTCCAAGCACAT